TGTTGTCTGCTAACAACATCAGACCTACAAGAGGAAAAGCCTTCTATATAACAGGCCTTTCTAACATCCTAATAAAATATTACTTAAAGAATAAATCTATAAAAACCAGAGAAATATGAATATGAACAACCAAGAAGGAAAAAACCTATATAGGAAAATCTTTATATTCCCAGTCATACTACACATCCCTCCATCCTCCTTTCTTCAACAGGGCGCCCCTGGACGTTCCGGTCTCCCCGGCTCCGACGGTGTCCCTGGACCCCCCGGCACCTCCATGATGCTTCCGGTGAGCCTGGAATGGGTTGGGGGGGTGGGGCCGGGGTGGGGGTGGGGAGGTTGATGCTGGGGTCAAGGGGAACGGGGTGGGGTTCCATGGAATGGTGTTGAGAAGAGATGGCTGAATACCGCAGACCAGAAGGGCGGCACTTCATCAGCTTGAGACAGTGCCTGCGTGACGGAGTGAGCCCCCGCCTCTGGCCCCAGCTCCTGCCAACCTAGCAGTTTGAAAGCAAGAAACTGCAAGTAGATAAATAGGGACCACTTCGGTGGGAAGGTCACAGCGTTCCGTGCGCCTTGGTGTTTAGTCATGCCGGCCACATGACCACAGAAACGTCTTCGGAGAGCGCTGGCTCTTCGGCTTTGAAACGGAGATGAGCACCACATCCCTAGAGTCGGATTCGACTGGCTTTCGAGCAAGGGAACCTTTACCTTTACTAGAGCTGGGTAGAGCAGAGGATTGGCACGATGCACTCAGTTGAGAGAGAGCGGATTTATAGCCCACTCTTCACTACCTGAAGGTGTCTCAGAGCGGCTTACAAACTCCTTTCACTTCTCCTCCCCACAACAGACACCATGTGAGGCAGGTGGAGCTGAGAGAGCTCTTGTCAGAAACTGCTCTTTTTTTCAAGAACAGCTGTGTCAGAACTATGGCTTGCCCAAGGTCACCCAGCAGCTGAGAGTGGAGGAGTGGGGAATCAAACCCGGTTCTCCCAGATTAGAGTTTACGCAAAGCCACTACACCAAACAGGCTCTCAAAACAAACAAGCAAACTGGACAGAGAGGACTTTGACCCTGCCTCCTGGGGACAAACACCCTATAGGTTCAGGATACGCAAAAGAAAGCCTTTCTTCACATACCGCATAAGTTCCCTCTAAGCCAGCGAAGAGTCGGACTCGACTGTGCGACTGAACAACAAAAAAGGCCAGTGATGGCAAACCTTTAGAGACCGAGTGCCCAAACTGCGACCCAAAACCCACTTATTGATCGCAAAGTGCCAACACGGCCATTTAACCTGAATACTGAGGTTTTACTTTAGAAAAAAACAACTCATACATTAACTTAAGATGATCCAAACAAAGTAAGGGAAGCAATCCCAAATGCTTTCATTGACTTAAAATTATTTGGCAGAGAATTCGACACTTTAATGGTGGTCTGGGCCTGGCTGGGGCGATGGCACGCGTGCCCACAGAGAGGGCTCTGAGTGCCACCTCTGGCACCCGTCCCATAGGTTCGCCACCACTGCTCTAAGCTGAGTTCGTGTGAGCCAGTTCTGAGATAACTTGTGACTGACCCAAGGTCACACCAGCAGCTGCCTGTGGAGGAGTGGGGGAATCAAACCCGGCCCTCCAAGATTCGAGTCTGCGCTCCTCACCATGACACCATAGTGGCTCTCAGAGCTCAGATTAAAACGAAGTCTGGTCGAAAGACCTGAGTGGTCCACTCCCCTCTGTGGATGGAACGGCCACACGGGGTGGATCTGAAGAGAGCCCTAAGGCAGGGCGCTTTCTCCCTGCAGTGAGCTGCCCGCTCCCAGTCTCTATTGAGTCCGAGTCTGACCCTGTCAAAGCTGCCTCTGGATATTTCCAGCACAGCCCTCCGGAACTCTGCTGCTGACGTTCAGCAATTTTTGAGTCCACCCCTTGCCTCCCCAGAGAGGTGTATCCCCCCCCAGGACATTTCTTCCCTTCTCCATGTTATCCTCACAACAACCCTGTGAGGGAGGTTAGGCTGAGAGAGCGCGACTGGCCCACGATCACCCAGGGAGCTTCCGTGACAGGGTGGGAATTGGGACCGTACCACGACTGGCTCTGAGTCGTGTCTCAGATTTTATTCTCTTGCATACAGTCTGGGCTGGTTGATCTAACTGGTCCCTCCGTGGACACCGGCGGGGGATGGGGGGGAAACATGTTGTCTGCGGGGGGAGCGGGGGGAGGACCATGGTGGGGTACAAGGCCACGGAGTCCACCCTCCGGAGCACCTGTTTTCTCCAGGGGAACTGATCTCTGTAGTCCGAAGAGGAGCTGTAATTCTGAATGGCATCCCTTGGTATTGCTGAAGCATATCTGGCCCTGGAAGATGTGGGGAGGGTTGAACCCCTGAGGGAGTGGCTGTGGGTGGGCCCTGGGATGGTGTCACTTGAGTGGCAGCGCGGATCGGCGGCCTAGGGGCACTTGTAGGAAACATAAGAACCTCTGAAGAGCCCTGCTGGGTCAGACCAGTGAGGGTCTATCCAGTCCAGCATCCTGCCTCACACAGGGGCCAGCCAGTTCCTCTGGAGGGCCAAGAACTGGGCAGAGAGGCTGAGGCCTAACCTCAGAAGAGCCCTGCTGGATCAGACCAGTCCCCCCGTCTCACACAAAGGCCAACCAGTTCCCCTGGAGGGCCAACAACAAGGCAGAGAGGCCGAGGGCGTCCCCTGATATGAACATCAGAAGAGCCCTGCTGGATCAGACCAGTGAGGGTCCATCTAGTCCAGCATCCTGCCTCACACAGTGACCAGCCAGTTCCTCTGGAGGGCCAACAACAGGGCACAGAGGCTAAGGCCTTCATTAGAACATCAGAAGGGCCCTGCTGGATCAGACCAGGGAGGGTCCATCTAGTCCAGCCTCCTGTCTCACTCAGGGGCCAACCAGTTCCTCTAGAGGACCAACAACAGGGCAGAGAGGCCGAGGCCATCCCCTGATAAGAACCTGAGAAGAGCCCTGCTGGATCAGACCAGTGAGGGTCCATCTAGTCCAGCATCCTGCCTCACACAGTGACCAGCCAGTTCCTCTGGAGGGCCAACAACAGGGCACAGAGGCTAAGGCCTTCATTAGAACATCAGAAGGGCCCTGCTGGATCAGACCAGGGAGGGTCCATCTAGTCCAGCCTCCTGTCTCACTCAGGGGCCAACCAGTTCCTCTAGAGGACCAACAACAGGGCAGAGAGGCCGAGGCCATCCCCTGATAAGAACCTGAGAAGAGCCCTGCTGGATCAGACCAGTGAGGGGCCACCTAGTCCAGCATCCTGTCTCACACAGTGGCCAACCAGTTCCCCTGGAGGGCCAACCAACAGGACACAGAGGCCGAGGCCTTCTCCGATGTTGCCTCCTGGCTCTGGGATTCAGAGGTTGACTGCCTCTGAATGTGGAGGTTCAGCTGGTAAAATGCCCGTTCATAGCATGACCACAGCTGTGATGAACCAGTCAGAAGATACCACACACCCTGTGCCTCTCCGTAAGTCGGCTGCAACTTGAACCCCCCCCCAATGGTGCCACAACCTTCTTGGTTGTGAATTATTATTATTTTTTAAATGAAGTTAACTTTTAAAAGTTTTTAGCAGTTACGTCGGGAGGCATCACTCCCAATACTTTTTGGAATTTGGGTGGAGGACCATTTCTGTGGGCAAATAATTCAGGTGTTGTTATATATTTTGGGGGGAAATGTATATGGCTGCCTCTCCAGATGAGGCCGCTTACATTTAAAAAGAACGAAACATTTCACAGAACGAAACTCGTGGAAACAAGCCAGGGTAGAACAACCGTTTCACACGTGCGTGGAGCGGCACAAAGATGAAGATGTAAGAAAGTCCAGAGGTCAGAAGAAGGCCATTAAAACTGCTAAGAGAGGGGGGGAAATACCTTAGTTAAAGCCCTCTTATTGGGTAGAGAGAAATACTTCAGGAAGGCCTGTGCTAGAAGGCAAGGAACGTAAGGGCCACGTGAGCCTCCTGGCGGAGGGTGTTCCAAAGGCAAGGAGCCACCACGGAGGAGGCCATGGGTGATTCCGCACTAGACTTTAAATCCTAGTTCAACCCTGTCCTCGAACTTACATTCTGCACGACACTCGAGTTCACCCCTGTAATTATCTTGGGGTATTTTTGTTTCCACGTTACATTGAGGTCACAATGTTCCCTCTAAGCTGAGTCAGTGTGAGCTAGCTCACAGTTTTTTAGTCTCCAGCTCACACATTTTTGTCTTAGCTCAGGAAGGAGGGCTCCAGAGCAAACTAATTGATGCAGTAGCCAAATTGCTCACTCGCAACTTTAATGCCAGGAGCTCACAAAGTAGAATTCTTGCTCACAAGACTCTGCAGCTTAGAGGGAACATTGGTCACCACCCGGTTTCGCCCCACCCTTGTCCCGGGATAAACGGATGCTGTTATAACCAGGGATAAATGCAAGGCACTGTGTCGTGAGTTGAACTCTTGATAAAACCAGGGATGAGACCCGAGTGCGGAAAGGACCAGAGTCTCTGGTCCTTCCCTCCCTCGCCTGGTTTTTGGCCCCCGTGTGACACAGAGTGTTGGACTGAAGGGGCCGCTGGCCTGGTCCAACATTGGCTTCTCTTATGTTCTTATGTTATGTTAATAATAATAATAAT